CTATTTTCACACTTACTATCATCCCCCTGGTCACATGATCAAAATTAAGGTGCTTGGCAGCTGACTCATATTTATGATGGTTGCAGAGTTCCAGGCAGTGGTGGGCTGAAACCAGTTTAACCAGCGATTCTGTGAGCGCGCGCCTACCGGAGTTGCGCGCAGTGTTCAAAATACATCAATTTGAAGCTCAGCTGCTTACTTCTAAGGCAGCCCCGTTAAGTAGAACAGTGGAGGCGCGGAAATCAGCTATGCTGCGCGAATCAGCTGAGCCAGAAAGAAGGAAATATAGGACAGGACGGGGGGGCGGGGGGACAGCTGATTGTCGGAACTACTGATACCCATTTATTTTTGCAGGCACCGGTCTACTCATTTGTTTTTGGAGGCACCGGTCTACCACACACTGCCTTTTAACACTGATCAGCTGTAAGGAGGCCCTTGGAAGCCCCGCGGCAAGGGTTTAAACAGTTTTTTTCCTTCTAGCCGATCAGCTGGGACTCAGGAGGCAGCAATAGATTGGGAGTGGGGCCAAATAAAAGGTAAGTATAACGCAGGGGGACGGGGGGGCAGAACCGGTTCGGTGACATCATATCGTCACCGCTACCGGCTCCGCGGAACTGGGCCGAACCGGGAGGAACCAACCACTGTTCCAGGGTTATGTGATCCCCTTTTGTGATCTTTTGACAAACAAAATCAAGAGGAAAGCCAGATTCACTTAATAATCATGTTATTAACTTAAATAACATGAACTCCAGTGATTCACTTAACAATTGTGGCAAGAAAGGTCGTAAAATGGGGCAAAATTCATTTTAACAACTGTCTCACTTAGCAACAGAAATTTTGGGCTAATTGTGGTCGTAAATCGAGGACTACCTGTACTTGTGACCTTTCATTTAACAACAGTTCAAAGGTATTATAGGTTTGGAAAAAGTGCCTTAGGGCCTGTATTTACAACCATTGTAACGCCCAAATATTCATCAATATTCTGTAGCATTTCTGTCTGGGTAGGAAGTTTTCATCCCACGTGAAAATTTCAAAGGATACAAGCATAAGTTTAGAGTGTGTCTTTTCTGCTCTCACTCCACTAGATTTGTTTTTGTTGGCAGGGATTTGTAAGACGGAAAAAGACTTTACCTCATTAGATATTGCTTATCACATTAGGGCCAAGTAAGAAGTCAAATAAATGTATATCTGGAAATGCAGTCCAAATGCATGCATCAGGAAAACAACTTTATTATCCATTTATGACGTTTGGCACCCATCCAAATATGCATGTACAGATAGAAAATCAAAGGCCTCCTGGATCATCCAACTGCTATATTTAAATTAGCCTGAGGACTTTAAAATGCATGGGCGTAACAGCAACAATATATCTGTGCTTTTTAAGAAAAATGATATCCATCAGCAAATAATAGCTATACATTGGATAGAGTCAGGCCTAAACTCCAAAATGACATAGTAAAATCCAATCAAATCCAGTTCCTTATTAGCCTTGTAGACTGAATCTTGCCATATTAAAGTTATAATCTTTTAACCTAATAGAGCCGTGATGGCGAACCTATGGCACGCGTGCCACAGGTGGCACGTGGAGCCATGTCGCCTGGCACGCCAGCTTAGCTCCGGGAGCCTTTGGAGGGTGGGGACAGCAAAAAACATCACTTTCTGTCCAATTGGAAGTTGGGAAATGGGCCGTTTTGGGCCTCTGAGAGGGTGGGGAAGGCTGTTTTCGCCCTCCCCAGATGCATAGAGAAGATCTGGAGCCAGGTGAGAAAGAAAAACGGGCCATCACATGCCAAGAGCAGGGTGTGGGGCGCATAGAATTATGGGTGTGGGCACGTGTGCGTGCGAACCTCCCTTGCCCCCCCTTCCTGGCACGTGATGGCAAAAAGGTTAGCCACCACTGTAATAGAGTAATCCCAGAACATTCTAGGTGTGGATACCTGAAAATTTTCTTTTCTCCTGGATCCAATTCAGGACTGTGCAGTCTCTTGTTTAAGGCTCTTCTGGAATGTGCTGCTTCCTTTATTTATTTATTTATTAGATTTTTATCTCTTATAACATACAGGTAGTCCTCGACTTATAACTGTTTAATTGACCATTCAAAGTTACAACAGCACTGAAAAAAGTGATTTATGACCAATGTTCACACTTACAACCTTTGTATCAGCCCCATGATCATGTGATCAAAATTCAGGTGCTTGGCAATTGGTTCATATTTATGACGGTTGCTATGTCCCAAGGTCATGTGATTACCTTTTGCAACTTTTTGACAAGCAAAATCAATGGAGAAGCCAGATTCACTTAACAACCGTATTACTAACTTATCGATTCACTTAACAACTGTGGCAAGAAAGGTAGCAAAATGGGGCAAAACTCACTTAACAAATATCTCACTTAACAACAGAAATTTTGGACTCAGTTGTGGTCGTAAGTCGAGGACTATCTATTACTTTATTATAAAGTAACTCAAGATGGCAAACGTATCTAATATTACTTCCTCCTATTTCCCCACAATAACAACCCTAGGAGATGCATTGGGCTGAAAGACAGTGATTGATCTAAATAATATTCATGCTTAAGGCAGGACTAGAAATCACTATCTCCTGGTGTTTGTTTCAAAATCACCCAAATGACTTTCATGCCTAAGGTGGGATCAGAACCAGTGGTGGGATTCAGCCGGTTTGGGCTGGTTTGGGCAAACCGGTTGTTAAATTGCTGGCTGGCCCAGCCCTTCCCCTCCCTGCCCCTTCCAGGAGTCCCCACGTGCCCCGTTTTGGCTCCCAGGTAAGTTCAGGGAGGCCTACTAGACCCAAAACCGGGCAAGAGGGGTGCGGTGCCCACCCAGCCTGTTTTTGCTCCCAAGATTCTGCAGGGAGGCCTAGTAGGCCGAAAATGGGGCACGGGGGGGTGCAGCGTGGCCCCACCACGGCCTGTTTTTGCTCCCAGGAGGCTGCAGGGAAGCTTACTAGGCCCAAAATGGGGCACGGGTGTGTGTGTGCAGCGTGACCCCCCACGGCCCTCCCAGGAGGTTGCAGGGAAGCTTACTAGGCCCAAAATGGGGCACGGGGTGTGTGTGCAGCGTGGCCTCTCACGACCCATTTTTGCGCCCAGTGGGTGCAGGAGGCCGAATGCTGGCTGTCACACACCCCTGGCCATGCCCACCATGGCCACGGCCACCCAGCCAGTCATTAGGGCAGAGAACTGGTTGTTAAATTTTATTTTTTGAATCCCACCACTGATCAGAACTCACCAATTTCTGGTGCCTGGCCCAAGGTCACACAGCTAACTTTTATGCCTAAAGTGGAACTAGAACTCACAGTCTCTGATTCCTAGACCAGCATTTAAACTTGCAATCTCATATGTCGGACTCTAAGAGGAGAGAAGAAAACAAATTTGGTGCTCTTTAGTTATTTTGGACGATTCCATCTATCCTCTCTTCTTTCTTGGCTGAACTTTTTGGATCAGATGCAAAAGCACCAGAAAGCCTCATGTTGCTTAATCTTGCTTGTCAGTACAATTTTCAGAAAAACAGATCTGTGCTCTAGGGACGTCTTTTTTGTCTCAAGACAAAACGTCATGAGGAAAATCATGGCTTGAAGAAAGAAGCAGGGGGGGGGGAAAGAACTAAATAGATTAGGCGGTAACTCTAACCCTAAACTCTTTTCCAATGATGAGCAAAGGGAAGTATTTTGCACACTTGTGCAAATGAACAATGCCAGCTTGTCAGTTTGTCGTCACTCTTGTGTTCTCATCATTGTCAGGATTCTTACTTGCTTGACCCAATACTCAGAATAGAGTCTGCTAAGCATTTTATCTGTTATCCCAGCCAGGTGCTAAATGCGTAGCCTCATGGCCTCAAACCTTTCCACCGGCTTTTACAATGAGTCACTTGTGTTGTGTGGGAAAGTTCCTTTGGAAATTCCTGGATAGGGTTGAGGTTTCAAAAGGAGAAAATTAGTTGGACCACGAAGGAAACAAGCCGCAAGATGGAGAATTACAAATAGAGGATTATCTTGATTATGGGATATCTACCAGAGGTGGGTTTCAGCAGTTCTGACCAGTTCTGGAGAACCGGTAGCGGAAATTTTGAGTAGTTTGGAGAACCGGTAGTATAAATTCTGACTGGCCCGCCCTCATCGATTCTCTGCCTCCCAAGTCCCAGCTGATTGGGATGAAATGGGGATTTTACAGTAACCTTCCCTTGGAGTGGGGTGGGAATGGAGATTTTGCAGAATCCTTCCCTTGCCACGCCCACCAAGCCAGGCCCACCAAGCCATGCCACGCCCACCAAGCGACACCCACAGAACCGGTAGTAAAAAATTTTGAAACCCACCACTGATATCTACTATGGAAGAATGTCTGCAGAACATCTACCTTAATATCTTTTCAGCACTAGGTAAAGCTGTTTTCTCCATTCCTTAGTATTTCTGTTGTTCTGTACTGGATTGAAAGGTGTGCTTTTCAGTGTAAGAATGGATTGCATATTTTTCTTAGCCAGTTTGGTGTAGTGGTGAAGGAACTGGCCTAAAAACCAGGAGACAATGAGTTCTAGTCCTACCTTAAACATGAAAGCCAGCTGGGTAACTTTGGGCCAATCAGAAAGCTGGCCAGGTGACCTTGGGCCAATCATTTGCTCTACGCCCAACCCACCTCACAGGGTTGTCGTGGGGAAAAGGAGAAGCAGTACTCTGAATGTTTGTTACCTTTATAAAATAATAAAGGTGGGATAAAAATCAACCAACCAATCAAACAAACAAATAAGTGTCATATCTTTATTATGCAGTTAATTAACTTCAAATGATTCAGAAAAAACTAAGAGACAGAACATGTTAGTTCTTGATTGAGACAGTTCTATAAAATCCCATTTCTACAAGGTTGGTTAAGACTGGTTTTTTTTTTCTTCTCCATTTGATGTCCAGAAGAAAGATTGTTCTGTGCATCTCAGGGTCTGGTTCTCACTTTTCGAATTCTTTCTTCCATCCCCCATCCCCATTCTCACACAGCCATTGGAAGCATTTAAGAAGTGTTTGAAAACTCTTTATTCCATCAAGACTACTGACTGGAGGAAGTGACTAAGAGCAGTTGTTGAGAATAGGGTCGGCCTGCTTTGCTGTAAATCATATTATTACAGTATAGGTAAGTTTAGGCTTTTATTGTGGTATTATTTTCATTGTGGTTGTAAATATCATACCATACACATTGATTTTACACTTGCCGTTTATTTCTTTTTTGCTGATTTTTATTGTGGGTTGGACTCTGACCTGGTAGGGAGCACATTATAAATAAAACATTGGTTTCTTTACAGCGCCAACTATTTAGCCGAGAAGCCATGAGCTTATATCCTTGAAGGCATCAGATATAAGGAGTCTCTCTCGCCCTATTTATTAATTGTTCAAATTTGTTTGTTTGTTTATATGAAAATACATGTGCCATTGATTTAACCACCATGGCAGTTAGCTGTGTAAGAATAGAAATAAAATCTTTCTCTTCCTTTCCCTCATTTAAGTTTATAGGCTCCAGGGATTTCCAATTCATTTCCCATAATTCATTTTAAGAAAAAAGATACAAGAATAACAGAGTTGGACGGGACCTTGGAGGTCTTCTAGTCCAACCCCCTGTTCAAGCAGGAGATCCTATACCGTTTGTCCAATCTCTTCTTTAAAATCTCCATGTTGGAGCACTATAACTTCTGGAGGCAAGTTGTTCCACTGATTAATTGTTCTAACTATCATGAAAGTTCTCCTTAGTTCTAGATCAGTTCTCCCCTTGATTAGTTTCCATCCATTGTTTCTTGTTTTGCCTTCAGGTGCTTTGGAGAATAGCTTGACTCCTTCTTCCTTGTAGCAGCCACTTAGATTTTGGAACACTGCTATGATGTCACCCCTGGTCCTTCTTTTCATAAGACTAGACATACCCAATTCCAGCAACGGTTCTTCATATGATTTAGCCTCCAGCTCCCTAAAGCAATAGCAATAGCACTTAGACTTATATACCACTTCAAAGTGCTTTACAGCCCTCTCTAAGCATTTTACAGAGTCAGTCTATTGCCCCCAACAATTTGGGTCCTCATTTTACCCACCTCGGAAGGATGGAAGGCTGAGTCAACCTTGAGCCTGGTGAGATTTGAACTGCCAAATTGCAGGCAGCCGGCAGTCAGCAAAAGTAGCCTGCAGTACTTCACTCTAACCACTGCGCCACCAAGGCTCATCTTTGTTGCTCTACTCTGCACTTTTTCTAGAGTCTCAATGTTGTTTTTGTGTTATGGCAACTAAAACTGGATGTTTTGGTCCAAGTTTTCCAAGTGTGGTTTTACCAAGGCCTTATAAAGTGGTACTAACACTTCATGTGATCTTAATTCTATCCCTAAAAAAATGGGTAGAATCGGAAGGATACACGTTTCAATGGCAAATGTAGGGTAAAAGTCGTGAAAGATGCTATAATGCTCCTTAAAAATGTAGAAACTCACTTCTTCAGAATTATAATAATAATTGCCAAGGTGGTACAGATAGTCTTCAACTTACAACCATTCGCTTAACAACCATTCAAATGGCCCTGGAAAAAAAATCACATATGACACATGGTCCCTGTGTTTGCAACAGTTGTAGCATCCCTACGGCTACACATGATGAAAATTCGGGTGCTTGGGAAAGCAGCAATTTATTTATGAGGATGGCAGCATTCTGCTACCATGTGATTGTCACTTTCAACCTTCCCAGACAATGGAGGAAGCAGATTCGCTTAACAACCACATGATTTTAGTGATTCACTTAACAATCATGGGGAAAAAAAGATCATAAAAGCGGGCATGACCCCTTAATAGCTATCTTGTTTAGCCACAGAAATTGGTGGGCGTGGCAGGGGAAGGATACTGTAAAATCCCCATTTCCTCCCCACTCCTGGGGAAAGGATATTGCAAAATCCCCTATTCCCTCCCCACTCCTGGGGGAAAGATACTGCAAAATCCCCATTCCCTCCCCACCCCACTAATCTACTTTCCAGCTCCGTTCTCCTGTGCAGGGCAACGAAAGAAGACCCAGCCAATCAGCTGGAAAGCTGGGGGGCAGGAATAGACTCTGGGACGCAGCAAATAGATCAATTGGGTCAGTGATGGGTTGCTCCCAGTTTAGCCTGTTTTGGCCGAACTGGTAGCGGTGACAATATGACGTCACCGAACCGGTTCTCTGTGATTGGGAGCTGGGCCCTCCCACCCACCCCTGCTTTATTTCTACCTTTATTTCTTGATTTTTAGCCCAGCTGATAGGCATGGCAGAGTGGATTGCCACACCTCAGCTGGCCAGAAACCTAACATGCTTGTGCAAAGAGAACCGGTAGTAACACCGATCGCACGCAAAGCACGTGCGTGAAGAGAACCGGTAGTAACACCGGTTGGAACCCACCATTGAATTGGGTGCTCAAGCCTTACAGACTAGGCCTCCCTGAAGCCCCTGGGAGCCAAAACAGGCTGTGGGGGGACTCCTGGAAGGGGCAGGGTGGGTGGGGTGGGGCCAGCCAGAAGTGGTATTTGCCAGTTCTCTGAACTACTCAAAATTTCCGCTACCAGTTCGTCAGAATCAGTCCGAACCGGCTGAATACCACCTCTGGGTAGACTTCAACTCCCAGAGATCCCCAGCCAGCATGCTTTATGTTGTGTGTACTTCAATTCCCAAAATTCTCCAGCCAGCATGCTGTATAAACAAACCTTTGTACAACACTAGTATTATCTCTTTCCTCCCAAAGTTATGTACAACTTCGAGTTTAGGTCTTGCTCTTAATACTATGAATCTCTGATGGTCATTTGCTGTCAGAACAAGGTGGGGCCTTCTTTGCAGTAGCCTCTGGCATTTTCTTTTTATATCCTGCTTCAGGATGTTGGCATCGGGAAGTAGTGCAATTATATTTGCAGTCCAAAGATTGTAAAACATCTTGAAAACATCTTAACCAGTCAAGATTCTACCTAGAATAGCATGTTCCTTTTTCAGTGGGAAAGATAGATATTTAAACAAGAAAATACACATATTAAAAAGCTGCATATAATGGAGTTAAGTGCCCTTTTTAATCCAATTTGTTGCTGCTCTCTATACTAATCAATTCAGAATTCAGCGTCCAAACAAAACAGCTGGTCTCCAAATTTCATTCTATTCCAGGATTTCTCAACCGAACAACTGTCAGATTGATGAACCTCAACTTCTACAGTGCCACAGCTAGCATGATCACTACAGGTCAAATCCCTGAGAATTCTGGGATTTGAAGTCCATCCATTTGGAAGTTACCACATTTCTGATAGGTAGACGGTGTTTAGATATAGCTTACATCCTTGTTTGAAAGGTTGCGTCATGTTGGGTCAGAATACTGCTCCATAAATCTAAACCAGGACATAGCGCAGGATGATGGTTTCAAACCATATATAAGAACGCATTTATCCCATCTGCTAAGATTTTCAGACTGTTCTGTCAGACCTCTTGGAAATGTCTAGTAAGGCACTGATAAAGCAATATAATCTGTTTAATTTATTCAGGTATCTAATTTATTAAATGAGAACCCTTAGGCACAGAATCCAGCTGAATCACTTTGGACCAGTTCTCTCTTTCAATTTTAGGAAGAAGACAATAGGAAACAAGAAAACTGTATTTGCCAGGAGTCAAAATTAATTTGAAGGCATCAGAGATCTCTCTCTCTCTCTCTCTCTCTCTCTCTCTCTCTCTCTCTCTCTCTCTCTCTCTCTCTCTCTCTCTCTCTCTATATATATATATATATATATATATATATATATATATATCCATCCACCCATCTATCCACCTACCCACCCACCCATCCATCCATCTACCCACCTACCTATCATCTATCTATCCATCCAGCATCTCTCTATCTATCTATCTATCTATCTGTCTGTCTGTCTGTCTGTCTGTCTGTCTGTCTGTCTATCTATCTCTATCATCTATCCATCCATCCATCCAGCTACCCATCATCTATCTATCTATCATCTATCTATTCATCCAGCATGTATCTACAGTATCATCTATTTGTTTTCTTTTCTTTTCGTAGTGCCTTTATGTGTATTTCTCTTTAGCCTACGTAAACCAAGATTTTTATGCAGCCCTAGTTCAGTGAAATCACAATCAGGTGCTTAGCATCTATTGGTGGGGTATCCTGGGGTCAGATAATTGCCATTATGTGACCTTTTCCCAGCTAGCTTCCACCAAGCAAAATCAACGGGAAACCAGTTTCACCCAATGACCACATGATTTACTTAACAACTATAGTGATTGTTTAACAACCATGACAAAAAAAGTTGTAAAATCAGACAAGACTCACTTAACAACCATTACTTACATGGAAATTTTGGTCACAATTATGGTTGTAAGTCGAGGACTACCGGTATATACATACACCAGCCTTTCACTATCCAAAACAGTCTGGAGATTGATTCCAAACAACTGAACAACCAGCTGGACAGAAAAATAACAAACTTATTTACATCTCCTCCTCAATGCTCTTCTTCCTTCTGATTTTCCATTTGTTTCCATCAGGAAGGTGGAGAATTGAATTTAAACCTAAATGAAGACAACCAATCAAGAGAGGTGGATGGGAGGGAAATGAGGTATGCATAAACATGAAACCCAAACTTGGGAACTGCAAAGGGAGTGATTAGAGCAGCATGAGGAAGAGACACTGCTGTAATCAGCAGAAGAGGCCCGTCTAGTGAATAACAGAGATGAGAGATGTTCTTTAAGAGCCTTTTCAACTGTCTCTTTGCACATGTGTGCAACACACACACACACACACAGGTCTCTTTCGTGCTAAGTTTTAAGCTGAGTTATGCCCTGAAAATCGGAATAGAATAACCGTTAAATTCCACTCAACTTCAAACTGCCAAGCTGAGAAAAAAATGGCTTCCAGTGGGCTTTTATGTGGATTTCAACTCCCAGAATCCCCCAGCCAGCATTCTGGGAGTTGAAATCCACACATGCTGGCTAGAGAATTCTGGGCCTTGAAGTCCACCCATCTTCAAGTTGCCAAGGTCCATCTAGTCATGGCTTCCAGGAGATCTAACAAGAGGGATATGTAGGATGCTCTCAATACCTCTATGTTCTCTGACATTTCTCTTAGTGCCAATCAGTTTCCTGACTCACCTATTT